TAAATTTCAGTAAGTGTGTTCAATACTTTTTCCCTGTGCCATCCCACATTATTACAAATAACTTCATTTTTTGGACATTTATGGTTTGATTTCTTTGTAAGTATGGATCACTTGGGTTGTTACCGACATCTGGTGAAAATTTCATGTCATTAGTACCTCTAGTAATATATTTACTGAGAAAAATGGTGATGTGTTCAATACTTATTTTACCCGCTGTATATTTTATGGATGATTGGGCTGATTCACTCTTAAGAAGACATGTTGCTTTGAGCTGACAGACCCCCCCCAGTATGGATGAAAATTATAGCAGGTCTGAAATAAACTCAGCAACTCCCATCAGAAGGAGAAAACACAGGGTGTGTCCTGGTTTTCTGGATAGTTAGTCAGAAGTTAAACATAGTTCCCTTTGATTAATGTTTGTCTTACAACATTAAAGGGCTGAATGTTATAAGGCATTTTTTTAACAAAGTTACAAAGTAAATGATGTGGTGTAAAACTGTATAATTTGCATTGCAGTTACTTCATATCTCTTCCTACCCTTAAAACAAACAAAATCAAATAAATGAAACAGCAAAACATTAAGCCACTGGTTCAGAGATGCTCACATCTAGAGATGGGACGTTTGCGAATGATAGAAAAAAATAAAGCTGCAGACAGTTCAGAGCCGTTCCTAGTTTTATTTATTTCCTCCTCAAGTTTCCTCCCTCAAGCGCAGAGAGAATTGCCCCTCCTCTGCTTTGCCAATGACTCTTTGAAGCAAATAGATATTCAAGATCTGATACCCCTTCAAAGAGCCATTTATCCCATCTGTACTCATCTCCCTTTAGAAAACCAGCTTTGTCATTAGAACCCTTTACCATCAGGCCAAATGTGTCCCCATGGGAAGAAAAGGAAACAAACCGTTAAAAACAAATCCCTCCAAACATTTATACATCCTAACTGAGCTTTTGTCAAGTCAGCGTGGAACACAGACACAGCAGAGACAAAAGAAAAACAAACACAGAAATATTATGTTGCTGGAGTACAATTTAAATGAAACTTATAGAAAGTAATGTACAGCTGATAAACATGAGTCAACCTGATTCAAGATGGCTGACGGAGCCAACTGACCTTAAAGGAATCCATGGTTAGTTGTAACATTAGACTTTATTTGATAAAAAAAATTTAACTGTAAAATAAAGACTAAAAATACTGTAGGCTGTTTAGTTTTTATAATTTTTAAACTAAAAGTAAAAAAATATATAACACGAACAGGTCCATTTTATTTACATGCAAAGCATTCTGGGTAAATGATGACGTGGATAGGTACTCGATGCGAGGCTAGAGAGGAGAAGGTAGAAATGACTCAGCCTGTAACTGAAAATGTGGATGGAGGACAACAGAGCTGCTTCATGGAAGAAGAACCTCAGCTTAGCCTATTAGCTTTAGTGTTAGCCCCAACGCTATCACCATATTAGCTCAGCACTACACATTCTCCTCTCGTCACTGAGGTCCTCCATCCACATGACAGAGAGGGGAACGCAAAAATGACTCAGTCTGCAACTGAAAATATGGATGGATGGACTTCAGTTTAGCTTGTTTGTTTGTTGCGCTAGCACCGAGCTAATACATATAAGGCAATATAGCATCGGCGCTAGCACGAAGGCTAACAGGCTAAGCTGAGGTTCTCCTCCATCCATATTTTCAGTTACAGTCTGAGTCATTTCTACCATTTATGACCTGGAATTGGTAATTCCTGCATTCATCTCGACCCGCGTGGATTGTTGTGGTGGCCTGTTCACCTGTCTGAGCCAGAGGCAGATGAATCGCCTTCGGCTCGTGCAGGGCTCTGCAGCAAGACTCTTAACCCGAACTTCAGAATTCTCACACGTCTCCCCGATCCTTTCAGGGCTTCGCCGGCCCCCTGTTCATTTTCGAGTCATGTTCGGGATCCTGGTACTCACTTTCAGAGCTCTCATTGGCCAGTCGCCTGACTACATTGGGGGTCTTGTCTCCCCTTATAACCCCAGATGTAAACTACGCTCATGGGATCAACATCTCCTGGTGGTTCCCCACACAGGTCTCGGGACCCGTGGTGACCGAGCCTTCTCCTCCGTGGCCCCCAGGCTCTGGAATGAACTTCCTATCCTTCTGCGCATGCTTGAAAGCATTGATTAATTCAAGAAACATCTGAAAACACACCTCTTTAAACAAGCTTTTAACTAACCAATTTCAGCATTTTTCTGCAGCCTGACATTTTAGTGTCTGTTTCACCAAACCCTACCTACTGACTGTACAATTCATCATATTAATATATGTCAAACAGCCAGTATTTTCATCCAAAATCATTTCAATTTATCAAAAATGTATTTTTTTAAAGTGTACCAGTACTGCACAATCTACCCATTCGGAGACCTGCCTCCAAATAATAATTGTAATTTGAATCTAACTTATTTTAAGAACCGATACAGATAACTTTCTCCTTCTAACGGCCGATAACGATAATAACTGATAACATGCCAGGAGATAAGACTAGTCCAAAATGGGTAAGATCATAACATAAACAAGACTAAAAAAAATGACACTAAATTATATTATTTGAAATAAACTCGTAGTAAACAAACATTTCTTAAAATATATCAATCAAAACAATTTCTCAAATGGCCACTTTTTAAATAAGGCACATTAATTATAAAAAAAGACCTTTAACACTGTTCTCAGATTTAAACAAAAGAAAAAAGTCATTCCACAAGTTCAAAACAGATAATTCACCAACACAAGTTATCATGCATCCCTATAAATATGTCAATATGTCAACTAATGGGTAGGTGGTTGGGTTTTTCCAATGGGATGGGGGGTCATTTAGCATATCTGAGAAGACCAGAATTGTCTCAGAAATTGCCACAATTAGATTTGCAATACAGTATCTGTTGTGGTTCAAAAGGTCATCAACGCAAAAAGCTACAACAACTGGGAACGTAGCACTAAGGTATTTAGATCAGAGGTTCTCAAACTGGGATCTGCAAGAGGTATCTTGGGGGTCTTCAAAAAATTTCACTAAATTGTTAATTTGTTTTTATTTTTAAAAATGCATGGAGAACAATGAACTAATAAAACAAACATAATTAACTTAATAAAATATTTATTCCCATGGCATTGTTGAAATGACAATAAATTATCTTTTAAAACAGCATGGGGTTTATGAGGGGGTCCCTGGAATTGGTTCGCCCTTGTAAGGTGCCCCCAGATCCAAATGGCTTGTGAACCCCTGGTTTAGATATGTCATTTTCCTTTTTGTTTTTGAAATAAAAAGGTGTCCTAAGGCTTTTTATTCAACCTGTACATCTGTGCCACAGCTATCCAACATTAGCAAACACAAAAATGGATATAACCCAGCCAGTGTTAAAGATAATGAGCAAAACTGTGATTTGGGAGGAGCTGAGAGTTATCCCCAACAAATACTCTGAGAATGACATTTTGCATTGAGAGTCGACCAAAACAGCTGCAAGTTTGTTGTTTTTTCAAAATAAAATGATTTTAAAACTCTGGTATGAAAGGTGGCGGGTGAAATGCATTCCTTTATATCAGAAGTTTTAGTTTTGAATCTATCACCTCTGACAAACTGCTTTATTCTGTGAAAATAATTTCATCCAAACACACCTCCTTGCTTCCCAACATCTTGCGGTCGTCTCATCAGTGTTCCAGTTCATCATTTGTTCTACCTGCATGTTGTGTTTTTAGCCAATCAGGTGTCAGAGGAGAGCATGGAGGAGCTGGATGATGACATCGCTGTCACACAGAGCCAAGTGAACTTCACCTGCCCACTCACACAGGTAGATTTACACCTGAATGCTGAATTACGATCGCCTTCACTTTGTTTGGGTTCGAGCTTCTCACGTTTTATTCTCCAACATTTCTAGTTTCTCATGTCCACAGAACTTCTGGCTAAGATTTAGCAGCTTAATGTGGTTTTCAGTCTCTGTTGCATTGAACAAACCCTGCCTGTGTGCCTGTCCTCAAGGTGGAGATGGTGAACCCAATGAAAAATAAGAAGTGCAACCACCACTACGATGAAGAGGCGATACTGGACCTGATTAAAAAGAAATCCAACCAGAAGAAGAAATGCCGGTAAGACACAGAATGCTTGGGAAGCTGAGTCAGGGTTTGAACCCATCTGCAGGCTGGATGGGACCAGCAGCAGGCTGCCTTAATTATTAAAGAGTTTTTATTATTTTTCTCCTTTGATGCTGGAGTCAGATTAAGTGTAGATTATCCCAGAGGTGGTATTTATTATGACTCTGACTGAGGAAACACTGTTGGACCTGGAGTGTAGCACTAAACCCAGCTGCTGATTAGGCTAAACCGGTTTATTCTGGAGGCCCCAAATGTTTTTCTGGTCTACCCCAAACTATCTGGTCATCTGGTTCATCAGATGCATATTTTCTTCTCCTCCCCATGACTTTAAAACAATCGCAGTTATATGTACAGGTGCTGGTCATAAAATTAGAATATCATGAAAAAGTAGATTTATTTCAGTAATTCCATTTAAAAAGTGAAACTTGTATATTATATTCATACATTACATACAAACTCATATATTTCAAATGTTTATTTCGTTTAACTTTGATGATTACAAATGACAACAAATGAAAATCTCAAATTCAGCATATCAGAAAATTAGAATATTACTGAAGACCAATAAAAACAAAGGATTTATAGAAATGTTGGCCAACTGAAAAGTATGAACATGAAAAGTATGAGCATGTACAGCACTCAGTATTTAGTTGGGGCTCCTTTGGCCTGTATTACTGCAGCAATGCGGCGTGGCATGGAGTCGATCAGTCTGTGGCACTGCTCAGGTGTTATGATAGCCCAGGTTGCTCTAATAGTGGCTTTTAGCTCTTCTGAATTGTTGGGTCTGGTGTATTGCATCTTCTTCTTCACAATACCCCATAGATTTTCTATGGGGTTAAGGTCAGGAGAGTTTGCTGGCCAATTAAGAACAGGGATACCATGGTCCTTCAACCAGGTACTGGTAGCTTTGGCACTGTGTGCAGGTGCCAAGTCCTGTTGGAAAATGAAATCTGCATCTCCAAAAAGTTGGTCAGCAGCAGGAAGCATGAAGTGCTCTAAAACTTCCTGGTATGTGGCTGCGTTGACCCTGGACCTCAGAAAACACAATGGACCAACACCAGCAGATGACATGGCACCCCAAACCATCACTGACTGTGGAAACTTTACACTGGGCTTCAAGCTACGTGGATGAAGTGCCTCTCTTCTTTTCCTCCAGACTCTGGGACCTTGATTTCCAAAGGAAATGCAAAATTTACTTTCATCAGAGAACATGACTTTGGACCACTCACCAGCAGTCCAGTCCTGTTTCTCTGTAGCCCAGGCAAGACGCTTCTGACGCTGTCTGTGGTTCAAGAGTGGCTTGACACAAGGAATGCGACAGCAGAAACCCATGTCTTTCATACGTCTGTGTGTGGTGGTTCTTGAAGCACTCACTCCAGCTGCAGTCCACTCTTTGTGAATCTCCCCCACATTTTTGAATGGGTTTTGTTTCACAATCCTCTCCAGGGTGCGGTTATCTCTCTTGCTTGTACATTTTTTTCGACCACATCTTTTCCTTCCCTTCGCCTCTCTATTAATGTGCTTGGACACAGAGCTCTGTGAACAGCCAGCCTCTTTAGCGATGACCTTTTGTGTCTTGCCCTCCTTGTGCAAGGTGTCGATGGTCGTCTTTTGGACAACTGTCAAGTCAGCAGTCTTCCCCATGATTGTGTAGCCTATAGAACTAGACTGAAAGACCATTTAAAGGCCTTTGCAGGTGGTTTGAGTTAATTAGCTGATTAGAGTGTGGTACCAGGTGCCATCCATTTTGAACCTTTTCACAAGATTCTAATTTTCTGATATGCTGAATTTGAGATTTTCATTTGTTGTCATTTGTAATCATCAAAATTTAACAAAACAAACATTTGAAATATATGAGTTTGTATGTAATGTATGAATATAATATACAAGTTTCACTTTTTAAATGGAATTACTGAAATAAATCTACTTTTTCATGATATTCTAATTTTATGACCAGCACCTGTATTCCTGCTTGTCCGTGTACACGTCTTCTGAACATGTTTTCTCTCTATCCTCCAGCTGTCCTGTCGTCGGCTGTGGAAACACAGACGTGACCGAATCTGACCTCATTCTGGACCAGATTCTGAGGAGAAAGATCCAGAACAACAAGAGGCAAAGCAAGAAGACATAGTCCTTTACACCATATGATAGAATATTACAAAACCTGTTTAATTAATGCAGAAGCTGTTGGTTTTTATTCTGAGTCCGTTCAAAGAGTTACAGACTCCAGTTAAAGCAAGATGTGTATATTTGTGACGTTTTGTACAAGAAAAAATATGCATCTGAACCTTCCTGAGTTTTAGGATGTTGTTTATTTTTCCACTAGAGTTGGTTTGTAATGTATTTTTTATTGGATGTAAATAAAAGCTTTGTTAAGAGAAGGTCAGTATTTTTCTGTCAGCAATGCAGTGAGCTGTGTGAACCAACAGAGGGCAGCGTTTTCACAACGTCACACAACAAATGATATCAGGATCATAAAGTCATGCCATAGAGAAATCATCACAACTTAATAAAATAGATCCTGTTTTTTTCTATTTTTTTTATTATTGAGGAGCCTTTGATTCCAGGAACAACAAAAGGAAAGCTTGCAGCAGGATTTGTTGTGAAGAGCCGTAAACTAACAGTTCTTTAACCTCTGTGGGAACGCTGTTAGACGTGATTACATTTCCCCCCCTGCAGGTTCACACAGTTCTGAAAGGCCATTGTTCCAAAGACGTGTTGAGATGAAAACTAGGCGAAGCTAATCATTTAATATCCTTGCGTCAGAGGTTTCTCAAAAACAAAAAAAAGAAAATCTGATTGCCTTTTCCTGACAAAGAGGGCATCACACGGCACTGAGAGGATTTTTGACAATGACGAAATTAACTGGCAACAAATGGTTTGGTTAGGATTGACTAATTCGACTTATTTTTTAATTAAATATATTTAATCCTGTGTGCAAAGATGTGGGTATAGTAATTCCTCACTGTAGAGTCACTTTATAAACAGCAGAGCCCTTATAGTCGCAGGATGTAAAGTCATAGTTATTGTACAATGAGGAATAATTCTTTAAACGTTTTTTTGATTTTGTTACCTGTTACTCTCTGCTTTAAGGTGGAATGGTTGTCTGGGATTTCTGTCATTTCCAGGCAGGATTTTATGTTTGGCTGTCAGCTGAGCTCACATCTTGGCACATGAGTGATAGCAAGGCTTGAGTGGGAAGAGGAGATCAAATAAGACTGAACTCTGCTGTGATCCACGCTTTACTTTCTTCCTCTGTTGTCAAAGCCAAGTCCAAAAGGTGCGTCGGTCAGATCTGAAGTGTTCACTTCCTTGTGTTTCATGCAGCTTCTAAGTCGCTTCACTTAACTTCGCTCTTTGAAGCAAATAAAACAGTTCTTTTATTAAACCTGAGCATCACAGGAAGTGCTGGGTTAATAAAGAACAGCCTTGTTTTTCTAAAAATACAGGAGTGCTCTTTTTACGTGTTCGACCAACCATTAACAAAGTGAAGGAAAAAACGCGGCTCAGTTCAGATAAACTGAGCTGTAGATTTCCTGTTGAGCATTATTGTCCTCCTGGTCAGTGGTGATGTGAACTCTGAAGTCCTTTTTAGCACAAGAGTGAAGCAGGTCACACCCACAACAAGTCAGTTAAAGCATTTGGAGGGAAATGTTTAGATAATGTAAGGACATTTTCAAACCAAAATCTCTCTATGGAGGACATATTTATACACTGACAAATCACAACAAAACTTGTCTCAAGGCACTGTACAAAAAACAATAATGAAGCCAGCAGATTGTGTTGAATCACTTCATTAGTCTCCCATCCTGAGCAGCACACTGGTGACAGTGGGAAGAAGGAACTCCCTTTTAACTGGGAGACCTCCAGCAGGACCAGCAGGCTCAGGACGGGCAGCCACCTGCCTCGACCGGCTGGGTTTGAGAGGACAGGAAGGAGGCAGACAAACACAGAGGGGCTGGTCCAGTTGTAGTTTCCACTTTGAGACAAAGAAAACACCTTATTGTTAGAAATAATTACAATAACAAGCATAGTCAAACATGTAACACGTCTCCAAGAGATGTTCATCATTTATGGACAGCCGTTTTATTAAAAATACAATAAATAAATAATGTAATTAATAAAGTATTAATACATATTCCATCAAATACCTAAATGTCCTCGTGAAATAAAACAAAATTAATATATTTTAATACATTTTTAGCATGTCTTTATATTATTTATTTATTGTATTTTGAATAAAACGGCTCTCCATAGTCATTCGTTGGCATCCTTTAAAAAAGAGGGTATGCTGCGTCAAAGATTTTTGCAGCTCTGACTTCAGTGAGCTTGATGTAGGATCCAGCATTTTATGAAATTACCGAGCAGAGACTGAGGATTCTTTAAGATCTCCCCTCAAATATTATCAGAAATGAACAATCCCACGTCTGTCTTCAATTACAGATTTTAACTGTGGAAAATGTGACCCATCATATCGAAATGAGGATTAAGTCAAATTAGGTCAAAATGACCTAATTACATTTTCAGATTCCTGGCTTTAAAAGCTACGTTTTCAACCTGGATCATTCTGATATCAGTTTATCCAGAGATATGACTTAATTTGTCTTGTTGGTTACAATAATATATTACTGTTTGGTCTGAATCCTAATTTTATGTAAATTTATTAATTTGTTTACGTCAATATAAAGAGGGAACCTCAAAAAGTTTTTGTATATTTAGACTTCCCATTTGAAAAGAAAAAACTTTGCTAGCTCACAGGGGAAATTTCAAAAATTTAAGGGATTTGTCCTCCAAATAAGTTTTTTTTTTGTTGCTACTGCTCAAAAAAATGCTTCAAAAATTTTTTTAGGATTATATTTCAGACAGTTCATTCAAATGATACATTGATAAGGCGTTAATTCAATGTATTTTGACAAAATGCAATTTTTGCTAAATCAAAACCTTATATCTGCCCATTTCTCCAAATTCCACTTTTTGACTTAATCCTTGTTTCGATGGGATGAGTCACAAATATTTAAACATAAGAGACCGTCCATCTCACTGAGGGGAGAGGTTGTAGGGGAAATGGTTATTTTGACGATAACCGTATGTTTAAAAGCTGCATTTTACCACACTGTTGCATCACTTTCGACAACAAACACTTCAAGCTGAAAACTCACCGTCTGACCCGACACAGCAAAAACACAAACTCCTTACTTTGATCAAGGGTTTTCTCAGTTTAACTGTTTTTGAATCAATCTCCAGTTCACTTGTGAAATAAACAGTGTGTATACAGTGGGTAAAATAAGTATTGAACACGTCACCATTTTTCTCAGTAAATATATTACTAGAGGTGCTAATGACATAAAATTTTCACCAGATGTCGGTAACA